GAGCACATCTAGGAGAGTCTGGCCTGCTCAGGGCTAGAGGATGTAGGCTGCAGTTATCCTTCTTGGATCCTTACTATTATTACTGGGCTCTGGGCCACTATCCTCCATTCCTGCCTGAAGTTGGGGTTATTAAGTTGAGGTCCACAAGACCACCACCCTATGTGAGTGTTGGAGGAGCACCCTATGAGGAATGGCCCCTTCTGATGTGGCCCAGGGAGGTCAGGGAAGAGGCTCAGACAAGACTGAATTTCAGGAAATGGAAATCCTCACTCACAGTTTCGTGTGAGTGTCTGGGTAACTGAGGGTGTGTGGTGTGTGTGTGTGTGTGTGTGTGTGTGTGTGTGTTGTGGGTGAGGGGGGAAAACATGCTTCAGCTACAGAAATGCCCTCCAGGAGCCAGCAGAAGCACTCCACAGGAGATGCCAGTTTGCAAAGGTGAAAGTGAAGTCTTATCAGTCACACTGTCTCTGAGGCCTAGTTCTCTCTGCAATGTGGGAAACACTCCAGTCTGGTCTCTGCTTTATGGGGGTTTAAGGGGCAGGGCCTGTGTCCATCCCTCATATCTTCATTCACGACGGTGCTAAGCATCTTATGTAAGTGAAGGTATTGAGGATGCTGGGTTAACATCATGTTCTGCCCTTGGGTTGCTCTCAACCTTCCCTCCAGCAGCCCCTCATCCCTCTCTCCAAGCCCAATATGGGATGGCACCAGAATCTAATGATGGACCCCCACGGAGGCAGAACCTCATGGACCAAGTTGCTCCCCTCAGTTAGGAGTATATTTCCAGTGCCAATATTAGAAATCCCAGGGCTCATTTTTATTAAAGCAGGGAGCATTCTTTGTTGTCCCATTACCTATCATGGAAAAAGTAATGCCCCTGGTCTCTTCTCTGGATTTGCTCGGTGGCCCAATTCCTGACAGAGACCTACCATCCCCTAGAGGACCTGGTCCCTCTCACCTCTCTTACCTCATCTTCCACTGCTCTCCCTCTCACTCATTCCACACTGAACTCATTGTCCCTTTGCTGTTCCTCAAACAAGATGGCTCTGCTACCACTGCAGGGCCTTTGCACATGCTATTCCTTCTCATAAAAAGTTTTCTCTCAGTTGTGCACCAGGTTCTCCCTTTCAGACCTTTCCTCAAATGTTGCCTTCTCAGTGTCGCCCTCCTGGGCCTCCCTATTGAACTCACACTCCTATTCGTCATCCCTTCTATATTTTCCTTCAGCGCACTTACGACCCTCTGATATCCATATTTTGTTTAGTGTTTTTACCTGCCCCTAGAATATGAGTTCTATGAGGTCAGGGATCTGTATTAGTTTTGCTCACTGCTGTCTCCTAGTGTCCAGAACAGGGGCTGGCACATAATAACTACTCAATAAATTTGTTTCACAAGAAAGGGAAAGAATACCCAGAAAGTTACATAACCCAAGAAGATCTCAGCACAGATTGGGATGTCAAGAGGCCAGTAAGTCCTATTGGGACTGACCTGCAGCCAGGAGCATGTGAGTAGAAGGGTGGTGGGGGTGCTGATGGGGGTGCCAATGGGTCACACCCCTTACACCTTCAGTGCCTCCTCATTCTGCCTACAGTCTAATGTGCTGTGATAGGGGTTATAAAGGAGCATCTCCCTGACCCCAATCCAAAACCTCATTCCTGTAGGAAACCTGCCAAATTAATGCTGCTGACTCTTGGTTGATTTTCACCTCAGCAGGCTTCTCCCAACCCCAGCATTTTAGCTTCAGCTCCAGGAGATGTCCACTGAGTGAAATAAAGAGGAATGGAATGGAGAAAAAGGAAGTCACCTTAATTGTCCCCTCCTATGCACCAGACACGTTCCATGCAGTGTCCTGTGCGGCAACCCATTTTACAGATGAAGAACCTGAGGCCCAGAGAAAGTACATAATTTGCCTATGGTCACAGAACTAGCAAGCAAGGGCGCAGAATTCATATCTAAGGGTCTGAGCTTCTATTTTACAACCTACCCCAGGGACAGTGGGAAGAACTCCATAGGTCCAGCTGAAAAGAATAGAATTTGTGATTCTGTGGAGGGGTTTCTATGAGGCAGCAATAAGTGGCAGGTGGACTGACATGATCTGGTCCCCAAGTATGCCTCCTGGCACTCCGGCTCCAACCATGGGGTGAATCCCCACTCTGGGCAAGCAGCTGAAGCTCCTCAAGGCCACCTCAGGGGTCAGGGATGACTTGCTTCAGCTCCTGCTGGCTGTCAGCTCCCTCTGCTGGACCCAGCCCCAAAGAGGAGCTCAGACACTGGGACGCCGCTGTCTGTCTGCACTTGGGCTCTCCTGGCCCAGCCCCTCTGCATGTGGACAGTCACACGTGGGGCACCTGCAGGCCCTCCCTACATCAGGGGAAGGGATCTCAAAAGGACCTGCTATGAGCGGCCTGGAAGAGAACAGGGGAGGGGAAACAAATCATTGCCACCACCACACCCAGCCCAAACAGCTGCTGTGTCTGCAGACAGGCTGTGTCTCCCACACTAGGTAGGCAGGCTCTCTCCCATCGGACTAGAAATGCCCTAAGGACAAGGGCTCTGTCTTCTCCCTCAGAATTCAAGCCACCTGTGGGCAGAGGCTATCTTTCCCCTCAAATTGGGCACTCCTGAGCTGTGCCACTGCTCACCTGTGATATTAGCTCAGTTCACACCCCCAGGCATCCTGGGATACCTTCTCAGCAGCCTGGCCACTCCCAGCCCCCAGACACCTGTCCCTGCCACTCTTCCCATTCCCTGGGCACCCCTTCTCCACCACTGGAGCTGAATTGTCACTACACAGCGCTGGCAAGTGCCACCCTGACCTCAGCAGCCCCGGAGGCTGTGCAGTGAGCAGCCTAAGGGCCTTGCCAGGGATGGGACGTGACTGCCCCCCTGAACTCTGCTGCAGGCTCAGCAATGAGGAAAGCGATACCTCGGGGAGGCGGAGTAGCCAATGACATCAGTGTACGTGACTGTCAGCCCAGCTTTCCCCTCTGCCCTCCATCCTCCCAGCCACAGTGCCTGCTGAGCACACTGACCTTCAGCTCATGGGCACAGGCCTCTCTACGTACCCAAACCAAGGACAGGGGAAGTGCGGGGGGGAGGGGGCTCCTCTCTGACTCCTCCTCTTCTAAGTGAGCACCCATGGGACTTTAGGCCCCAGCTCTCTCCTGTCTGGGCTTCTGGAACAGGAGTCAGCTACTTCCTGGGTGTCCCCTAACCCCCCTTGCTGGCAGCCTGGCCCCGAGGGAATTGATCATTCTCTTGGCTCTGCTAGATCTTCCACCCGAGTGCCTGGCAGGCCTCTAGTGACTGGAAGCCAGTGTAGAGGGCATCTGGCTCTTTACCCCTGGTCTGCTGACAGAACAGCCAGACCAGTAAGGGCAGAGGCCCAGCCAGGATAGACAAGACTGGCTATCTCAGACAGGCAAATTCAGCCTGTCTGAATTTGAATGACCACAATTTACCACTGTGGTGCCTTCTAGAGAATCCTATTGCTACAACAGCTATTCTCAAATGCCCCCAGGCCCCATCCAAGGAGACAAGGTCCGGAATTCATCCTCCAGATATAGCCCTCAACCAGGACAGACCAGTCAGACACCCAAAATGAGAGCAGTGCTTGCCATACTTGTTTCACTGTTTACCTTTACCAGGAAATATCATATGAGTGTGCACAAAGTATAGGCATATTTCTTTAAAATTGTGTACATTAAGGCAAATTGCAACGAGCCTGTGGATAATACTAGGTGGGGCAATCAACAAATCAGCAGAATAGCAAGAAACTTAACAAGATATTCAGGAACAAGAAAACAAGAGTGAGTCTTGATAAGCTCCCCTATAT